TGAGAGAGTAAAGCCAAAGGTCCCTAACTGATAATTTTGTTTGCATAGTGTTTTAAAAATCTAGTCACTGAAAAATAACCAGCTTGATTTCTGGGTTTTCCAAAAGACCCTGAAGATCTGATAACAGTGGGTCCATACCTGCTCACAGCAATGACAGGCTGGCAGGGGTGACTAGTGTCTCCTGTATAGAAGGCAGAAGCTCTCAGACGTATGACCATTCTCCCGAAGATTCTCATGACAATCAAGGACCTGTGCTGTAGTAATACTATTTGCCTAGATCTCCAGGAATACAGCAGTAAGCAAAACACAAAAACCCCTACCTTCATGCAACTATACTGGTTTTGAATAGATGCTGAAGGGAAAGCTACCAACTAGGAATAGTAAAGTGAAGGTATTCTAATGTTCCTGCAAAGGAACTCCTACTTAATGGCATTCTTGAGTGAATCTTTTTGTAAAGGGAATGGCCACACCCTATTTTATCAATTTTGAGTTCTAGACTGGGTGTGCTTAAAGTGAATCCACATAATTACTAGATTACATTGTAAATTCCTGTGTCTCTACATATGTTTGATACAAATATCACTGTCACTCAAAATGATTTCTACATTTCACTCATGGATTCAATTATCTCCTTCTTATATTCTGCATAAATAATGACTTAAATATATTATCTAAATTTGTGGTGAATATCTTCAGATTAGCAAATTTTCATTAAAAAAAGACATGTTCTCCTTTACTCAACATTTACATGTACCAACAAAATTACATTTCATATTATTTTAATAATAAAAATCTCAGATTCACAGTCAATTCTATTTTTGACCAAAAAGCAAAGCCTTTATATTTTGAAAGTTTCTAAGTATCACTTATTTCCCATTGCAATTTCTGCCTTTGCTGATCTACACTAAAACCTATGATGCCTGTTAATCATACAATAGGTAACTGAATAAAGAATGCCAGAAAGATTGCTTGATGACTTGAGAAAGTGTCTATATAGAGGTGTTCGCACATTCTAATTAAGTTCTCCTGATGTTAAAATTGCAATAAACCATGAGTTGTAATAGTGGAGACAGTTTACAGAAAGGAGGAGAGAAAATTATCATATTATTTAGATAAGTTAAAATTTTTTCATCCAAGAAAGTCTAGTTATGTCTGCTTTAAATCAAGTCATATTGTTTATTTTACAGCTTAGGTTAGTAAGAATATGAATACTATTTAGGGGAAGCAGAATTATTTTCTATGAAATTGTTTTCTAACTCAGTTATTACCACCATCACTATCCTAGTCATCTTGTTTAGAAGTGTAAAAGTTATCTTCAATCAATCTTTATTTTGTATGACTCCAAAAATCAGAAGTAAGAAAAATGAGTGGTATCTGCAGTGAGACCAACCAGGCTCCTTGTAAGTGACTCAAACCCATGTCTTCTGGCTGCTCAGCCACATTCTTTCCACTCGGCTATACTAGCTCTTACTCAATAATAACTTAAATGTAAAGTAAGCTTTCAGAGTTTATAAAGAGTCAGTATCTCATTTAATCTTGGTAATAATTCTAAGTAGTAAGTTGGAGCAGACATAAGTATCTCTAATACACAGGACACTAGGTGTCCATTGAATAAAATGATTTATTCAAAGAAGTTGGATCTAATGTCTCGTAATATCTATAAGATACAACTATTAAAAAATTTTGTGCAACTAAAATATATTACCTTTAGAGTAATAATATCTTTAAATGAATATAGTGTACCCCTCAGGTTTGTATTCTAGGGATGGTAAACACTAGACATCTGTACTGGCCATCTCCTTTCTCATTGTAATCCTTCAGCACACTCTTTCCTGCTGGGCCTGAAGCTGGTCTCAGAATCTTCCTGAACATACTGCTCCAGACAGCCCCTATTAATTTGACTGGCAACATTAGCTTGGCAGATAAAATCTGCATTTCTACTTTGATTATCTTCACTTAGGTCATATATTGTTTGTGATGCTTTTCTTTGCTTTTGATTTGATATGTTATTAATGGTTCTCAATTTATTTCATGTTTGTACACATTGTCGTCTCCAAGTACAGAGCTCCTGCCTTTTATTTATTTCAGAGCCTCAACTGCGGTGATTCATACACAATAGCTCTCAAGTGCTCTGAACATACCTGGGACAAATAGACAGTATTTAGGGAAAAAAAATCTAAAGTTTAAAAAAAAACAATAAAAACTGTTCTTGTTTCTGAATATGGTTTGGTCAGGGGTCAGTAAACTTCTTTACTGACCAGAGCCAGAGAGTAAATATTATAAGCTTTGAGAGCCAGATGGTCTGTGACATAACTATCAGCTATGCCACAATCATGTGAAAGCACCATAGACAGTACATAAATGAGCGTGTCTGTGTTCCAATCAAACTATTTATGGACACTGAAATAGAATTTTCATAATTCAAAAAATATTATTCCTCTTTCAATTTTTTTCCCCAACAATTTAAAAATAAAAAAACCATCCTTAGCTTGTGGGCCATAGAAAAACAGGAGGAAGCTGGATTTGGCCCACAGGCCATAGTTTACTGACTCTAGCCTACATCTGGGGTTCAGAAAATGAGAGCTTCTGATGGTCTGCAAGATCTTTTCAGCAAGTCCAATTACCAGTGTGTGAAACCAGATTTTCTTTGTATACTTCCATCAAAACAACTTATCACAACAAATATGAGGATCTAGCTATCTTCTATTAAGCCAGAAATTGAAGAGATTCGCAGAAATGTAAAACAATGCCACTCTTCTCAATAATTTTTCTTTATGTTTGGAAAATATATAGTTATATTTCACGTCAAATGCTGTTTATATTAACACGTAATGGGCTTATAATTTTTTTATTTTTTTAATGAAACATATATTTGTAGGGCACAGATTTTAATATCAATACATTTGTACAAAATGTGATGATCAAATCAGAATAATTAGTATACTCGTGTTCACAAAACATAATCAATCTTTGTGACCTTTAACTAATTTCTCACTTATCCCCCTCCCTCTCCCTGGGCTTATTATTGTTTAAAGATTAATATTTTTGAATTTCTCAGCTTTGATTTCTAATATGATAAATGCCTACAGAAAAAACTCACGTAAACAAAAACTCTCTGGGGGCTCTTGTTAAATTTTAAGAATGTAAAGGGAGCAAGAGACCAAAAAGTCTGAGAACCGGGTGCAGAGCTACAGATGACTTATCACTGCCAGCAGAGTGCACGTAGACCTGCCCACCACATGAAGCCACCTGACAGAATATTTTAGGGGAAATAAAAGGGAAAGTCGTTTTAATTCCAGTGTTATAACATACAGCAAAAACTTACATGAGGAAGCATTGCTTTCAATATAAATTTACTTTGTCATAAGATTTAACTGTCTATCCAACCAATGTGTACTGCTGGCCTGGTGAAACCTCTCCCTCCCTCCCTCCCTCACTCCCTCCCTCCCTCCCTTCCTATTTATATTCCAGCTCCTTATATTCCATGTTATCGAATTATTTCTCAATACTATTCCTTCCTTCCTCCCTCCCTCCCTCCCAAACCAACTGGAGTTGAGTTGGGCAGAGGCAAAAGAAGAAAACTTAGCCCTGGATTTGTTTTTTCTTCTTCCTTTTTTTTGTATAAAATGCTAATTATGAGGATCATTTATCATTTTGTTGAATTTTATGCTCTTAACTAGAAAGTGTTTCCCCATGAGTATATGATTTTGAAAGTTTTTATCATTTCTCTTATGGAATAATAATTTTGTGAACAATAACAGAGGAAGAAATTTATATTTGGGGGCATTTGTCTCTCAGTCTCTATTATAAAATACCTTAAAAATCAGGAATTATGATTTAATGCTAAATCTGCCATAATTTGAGTATTGGCTCCAAGTAGTAAAATAAAATACATTTGGCTATTTTGACCAACGCCAAAACTGAAATTCACTAGCATCTTTAAGATCAGAAAAAAATTATTATCTGTTTTGGGGATTATTACTCATTAGGGGGAATAGTGCAAATTACATTAGAAAGATTTTAGTTATTGTGATCTTCAATGAGGAACACAAATTAGACTTAAAATATGGGGAAAGTGCTTACTGTTTAAATCTACAGTAAAAGCCAAAGTCTCATCATGATTGCAAAACATTCCAAATTGTGAAACTTAAGTTATTTGAAAAATAGACAAAAGTAAAACAGCTTCCTCACTGATTTTTTTGAGATCTCAGCATCAATTTAAAGAAAATGCTTTATATTTAAAAGAAAGCCTATTTCAACATATGAATCCCTACACTGAGTACATATAAAGATGTGAAGCAAATTTATCTCTCATATCATACAATAGTCCTGCTCCATGTGATGTAAGTGAAGGTGATAAGAAACTAAAGTTAAAAAAAGAAAAAGTTATTTGCTCCACAATTCAATTCTTAGAGAAATAAAAGAGCCTCAATCCTAAAAGAAGGAAACAATGTAGAACTAAACAGATGCTAATGTAAAAAAATCAACTTACATAAAATTATGTGGATCACATGGAAAAATGGGAAAGACCATATGTACTTTACTGTGCAGAAAAGATATATTTGAGAAGAAAAAAGTCTTCTGAGAAAATATTGCTAATATTACTCCAAAGCAGCAAAACTAGAATCAAAGTATAGTTATTTTAAATCTTGGCACAGCAGTGTAAGATTTGAAAAATACCATTGTTATTTTAATAAAATAATTTTCAGTTTTATTTTGTTTTCCCAATTCCCCTCCCCAGCAGCGGGACAATACATGTAACTTTCTATAGCTGCTGGGGAATTTTCTTAACACTTTGTGGAAACTGTTGGCTTTCAGAAATGGATAGGCTGATATGAACCGAAAGTTAGACAAAATACAGAATTGCAACAACAATAAAAAGCAACTTAGGAGGATCAAGCCAAGCAGATAAGCAAACTTTAAAAAGTTTTTGGGGACTGTTCATCAAGTCAGTTCCCTAATTTCAAAAAGCCAAACCAAAGCAAAGCACGTTGACTTACATTGTTTCTTTAGTTCTTTAAGCTGTTGTTTAAACTGCACAAATTTTTCATTATTTTGAAAGTCTGCGTCAGAATTCTTACTCTGTAAAGTCAAAAATTTCTTCTCCACTAATAATTTTAAGTCTGGTATTTTTTCTGGACGTTCTTCTTTTACCTAAGAAAGACAATAGAATTATCTTAGTTAAATGTTAACATTAACAGTGTACACAAAGTTTTTTTAACATTGTGTTTATCTCATATAATTCAAATAAAAAGATAATGAGGTAGAAAACAGAATCTCCTGAACAAGGAACCGGAGAGGTTGGGATTTGTTCCAGAACAGACTACTGGGAAATAGTGGAGGGAATCATTCATCTCATCTACTCATCCTACCTTCTCTTTCTTAAGAGCCCTTCGATGCTCCTGATAATGTAATGTATACTGATAACTCCCAGGGGAAATCACACAACGTGTCAGCTCCACCGGAACCTGAGCACCACCTCTTCCTCCTTTCCCCAGGTCCGTTCAGTCCCCTCTCCCACTCGCCACAGTGGCTATTTCATTCTTCCTTCTCAGCTCTCCTCTTCTCTGGCCTTCTGCGCCAGCAGGTAAGAGTAACTCCTATCCTACAAAGAAGTTGAGGCTTTAACCTTCCATAATTTCCTACCACAACAAGGAATAAGTGTCCTTCTTTGTTCTGTTCAAGGCTAAACTCTCAAACTATGTTCTCCCCTGACCCCCATGTTATCGAATTATTTCTCAATACTATAAAATTTTCAAATATGGAGAAAAGTAGAAGGAATTATACTGTGAACACTCATTCACTACTTCCTAGATGCCACAATTAACATTTTGCTGTGTTTGCACTATCACATATCTATCCATCTGTCTATCCCTCTATCCATCCTCAACCTTGTTCTTAAGTTTGATTGTAATTACATCTTCTTCAGAACAACCTTTCCTTCCCTATAGCCTCCTTCTCCAAAAACATTTATACTGGCTCTTCGATCTCATATTTAAAAGCAAACAATCTCTTATAATCTCTGTTCCCTCCCCCCAGTTATTTTCTATTTATATTCCAGCTAGTTAGGAAAAAAGGAGTCACTGTCTCTACATCCTCAGGCTTTGGCCACTACAGTCAAGCTGCTGCCCTCCGCTGACCCCCTTCACTGCAAATACTCTTCTTCAGGCCCTCCTTCATAATTGATCCCTTTCATCTCTGGCCCTTTTCTGATACTAAGTAGCCACCAAGCAAAACTCACCAAACTCTCCACTGTGCCCTGATATGCCTTAGAGAGATTCTGTAATATTCAATTGCTCTTATTTTTATATGTATTTTTTCCCTAATAAAAAGTAAACTCTTTGAAAGATGTCTGATTTATCACTGTATTTACTGCTAGTGTCTGGCACATGCTAGGTAATACCTGACATATGTGTTGCAAACAAATTAATCTTATTAGCACCAAAAATATGTACCTACTAAAAGCCAAAATTTATCAACTACTATTATTATTAGTAGAGTACACAGTACAATTTCTGGGCTGGAAGACAACTTAGAGATCATCTAATCTTGATCTACTCTTCCCCAGTTTCACAAAGAAATAAAATGATATAGAAAGAAGTTAAGTGACTTATCTTATATCATCCAATAAAAGTTAGAGGCAATGGTAAGCCTACAAGATAGATACAGAAAATTCTTGGCTTTTGGTTCTAGTCATTGGGATATATTTCTAACCTCTCTAAATCTGAGTATCAATGCATATAAAGTCAAAGATTATCTGTAACTTATGGCTCTGATTACCTTCTGTCATGGAGAAAAAATTATATAATCTTCTTTGCTTAATTGCTATGCCTTTTGATTAGCTAAATCAAAAATAAGAATTAAGCATAAAACCAAAATGCCTAAAATTTATATTTATAGTACAGAGTGTAGAAACTGTTTTCCCCTGTACTGATGATACTCAGTGCAGAATTCACCATCAAAGATAGTAGTGAAAAACACAGAGAGGCTTTAGTGATAAGTGTTATATGAAATTAAAAATTTTAAATGGGGGGCCAGCCCGTGGCTCTCTTGGGAGAGTGTGGTGCTGATAACACCAAGGCCACAGGTTCAGATCCCATACAGTAATAGCCAGTTCGCTCACTTGGAAGAGCATGGTGCTGACAACACCAAGTCAAGGGTTAAGATCCCCTTACCAGTCATCTCTTAAAAAAAAAAAAAAAGAATTTTTAAAATGAATCCTTGTAAGGCTAAAGAGCCAATAAAGCTCAGTATGGAAAAGAAAAAGTAGAAAAGCAATTTAATAATGCCTTATACCTCAAGAATAAGAGCTATTATACATGGTGACTAGCTATCCTCTACCTCTACACAATAGAACAAGATGAGACAAGTTCAAAATTGTAGTACAAAAAGTTCAGAGTAGACCTAGAAAATAAATGGCTGGTTCCTCTGAAAATGATTATAGGTTCTCTTTCTGAATTTATAAAATAAAATGGAGGCTGGCCAGTTAGCTCAGTTGTTCAGAGCATGCTGTTATAACATCAAGGTCAAGGGTTCAGATCCCCTTACTGGACAGGTGCCGAAAAACAAACAGCAAAAAAATAAAATGGACTCACATCCACCTAAAATTTTAATGGTAACTTTACAGGAAGTCATTCAGATGAGCCTTCTTAAGGTCTTTGATCAGTCTGAAATTACTATGTAATCTGGGATGATCAGAAAAGCTCTGATCTGAACAGATGATAAGTAAAATTCAAATGTTCTTTTCAACAAAGAACACACTCAACATACTTAATTTCCCTAGTTCAACTACAACCGCTGCTGGGGAGTTGGATAGAAGACTGGGTAGGAAGTAGGAGGGTGAGGCAGAAGGGGATAGGTATTTTGAGGTAGACAACATAGCAACCTGAAATATGACTAGGAAAACCTGAATAACCAAATTTAGTGAGTTGATGGGTTCCCTCCCCCACAATCAGAATCCCCAGAAAACTGTTGTAAAACACATAAATTCACTGCAGCAATATCTTCTCTGAAAGCTTGATGGTATAGTTGGCATAATTATCCATTGCAAAGAGAACTTAAAGTACTCTAGTTATCAAAAGGAAAGCATGGAAAATACTACACTCTTTATCTGTTTAAATCAATGTAATAAATGGGGATTAACTACTTTTAATACTTTCTTGCTTTGTTTCTATTTTTTAAGAAAAATAGACAAAGGAGGAGGGAAAAGAAATTCTTTTGAGTACCTGATCATGTATTTTACCTAATATGAAAAAGATTCTTTTCCTAGGACAAATTTCAAATGCCTCAGAGAAATTTGAGATAGGAGAAGATCTATTACATCCTAAGGTCAATCCCTTTCTCAAGCATAAAACCCCCTAAATGTAGGGCTTAAAAACCCAGTGAATTATAAGCGTTAGTTTCTTACCGCTGCCATAACAATGAACCATACATTAGGTGGCTTAAACAAGAGAAATTTATTTTCTCACAGTTCTAGAATCAAGAAGTACAAGATAAGGTGTCAGCAGGGTTGGTTCCTTCTGAGGCCTCTCCCCTTGGCTTGTAGATGACCGTCTTCTCCCTGTGTCTTCACGTGACTTCCTTCTGTATATGTCTGTGTACAAATTTCCTCTTATAAGGATACCAATCATTTTGGATTATGGCTCACTCCAATGATTTCATTTAACTTTCATTACCTCTTTAAAGTTCCTATCTCTAGATCCAGTCACATTCTAAGGTACTAGGGTAGGGGTTAGGACTTCCACATATGAATTTCAGAGAAACATAATTCAGCCTATATACTGGGTTAACAAAAACCAGAATTTTACAAACAGCTATAGATTATTAATCTTTATACCATTATAACTTAAAAATGAGAGAAGCTACTGAGAAGCGAACAGCACACATCATACTTACATAATGAAAATTTAATACTGCCCTGGGGAGAGAACAAGTCAGGTTTTTGTGCACTATCACTTACCCATCCAACAGTCAATGAGTGCCCTCTATGTGCTAAGCATGGTAGCTAAAAGGAGAGAACAGAAAAGTCAATTGGGAGCAGATGGTGAACAGCTTTGAGAGCCAGGCTATAGAACTGAGACCTGACCTGACAGGCAGTGGAGAAAGACACTAAATGATTTTAAGGAGTAAAGTAATCATACCATGAGAACTTAAAAAAAGAAAAAGAAGATTGCTATAGTTAACTCCTGAATGATGCACTGCAGATTGGGAGAGGGAAGTTACTGCTACATGTAACTAATGGCAGAGGAGCAGGCAACTCAGACTGTGATGCTATTTTTGAAGCAGAATCGCCAAATTTTATCGTGAGAAAAAGACAAGGGATTGATAATGCCTCCGAGAGGGCCGGCCCGTGGCTCACTCGGTAGAGTGCGGTGCTGATAACACCAAGGCCACGGGTTAGGATCCTATATAGGGATGGCCGGTTTGCTCACTGGCTGAGCGTGGTGCTGATAATGCCTCCGAGAGGGCCGGCCCGTGGCTCACTCGGTAGAGTGCGGTGCTGATAACACCAAGGCCACGGGTTAGGATCCTATATAGGGATGGCCGGTTTGCTCACTGGCTGAGCGTGGTGCTGATAATGCCTCCGAGATATTTAATGTGGGCAACGAGTTAAATGCCATTTTCTTGAAGAAAGCAGTGGGCATTGCCGAATCTGTACAACATCTAAGTGGAGATATCTAGTAGTTAGCTGCAAAGACATTTAAAATGAGCACATGGGAAGAAAAGAAAAGATGGAAAAGAAATTCTACAAAAGTAAAGAAGAAAAAGCAGGAGTGAGGAATACTACAGAAAGGAAAAGAAAAATTTTCTTAAGAGAGGTGCTTGTCCTTTGGGAAAAAATGATATGAGAGAGCTCAAGTAAGAAAAGGGCTAAAAAGAGACAACTGTATTTAATTACTAAGCACTTAGCACATGGCACTGGAACTATCGTTCTCTCTCAACAAACCAGCCTATGAAACTTCTCTCAGGCAAGGCTTATTTCCCTGGCATCTGGTACACAGTTTGTTGCTGATGTATGACTGAATTACAGGAAGGCCAAATTATACTGTGTTGGCATGAGAAAAGGGATTAAGGGAGTTCTATGTGAACAAATGAATGAAGTTTGGTGGCAAAGGAAGAACAAAGTGATGAGAAGGAGATCATGGGAAAGAGAGAGCTAAAGAGACTTGTTTACCTGCATAAAGGATAATAATAGCTTGAAGTGAAGTAGACATCATGGAGGAGAAAAAACGTGGATTAGACAAATCTGGGTCTACCCCCGTTTGTGGATCTTGAGATAATCCTTCTGGGCCTTGGATTTCTCTCATCTCTTACTTAGGAATCAGAAATACCCACTTCAGTGCTGTGAAGACTTAATCATGTTTGTGTTTAACTTTGGCACATAGTAGATGATCAAAACATTTTACTTTTTTCCTTCTAAATTTCAGCATAGAGACTTTAACATGTTTGTGAACTGAGAAGAAGCCAACGAGGAAACATAAATCAAAAACACTAAGAGAAAGCAAGTTACAGCTTTCATGGAAAATCATTCAAATACTAGAGCAAAAAACAGAGAAGATGACGACCAGCTGGGAAAGCAAAACAATTGTCTTTACCAAGTGTCATAAATGCCTAGAGGGCTAGACAAGCAAGGATATAAGGAAACCCACAATAAGTACAGGACAATAGGAAGTGGCGAGGACTGTGTTGCAGTGGATGGTACAAGCCCCAGGTAGGAGGAAAGCTGCTATTTGGTTCCATGTGACAGCTGCCATGTGAGAATACAAGTCTAGGTTTTTAAAGAAAAGTTAGAAAAACAGATTTTTATGAGACATTTTCTGATTTTTAAAACAATATATAGTCCAAACAATACATCAGCCTGAATGCCACGAGCTTGACACCTCTAGTTAATGCAAACAATATATTTTGGAAATTAAATAAAAGTATGCTTGTATCCATAATATTTGAAGGTCTAGTGCAATTCCCAGACTTCTACGGGATGAAATGTGATTCTTTCAAGCAAAACAGAAGTAACGGAAGAAGGTATGCATGAAGGAGAAAGGAATAGATTCCACTGATTCCAATAGATTACATTCTTTATGATTAAACATGGGCTCTAGACTTGAGATCAAAACTGCGACTCTGCTACTAATTGAATGGCCTTGGAAAAATCACTAAATATATTTAACCGTAGTTTCCTCACTTGTAAGTAGAACATTAAAACAGTATTTACCTCATAGTGTTGCTAAGAAGAATACATGGAATGAAGCAATAGAGCACTCAGCTGTCTGACATGGAGAGTATTCAATGGGTAGCTGTTGTTGTTATTATTATTACTAGGATCATTATATATGTCTCTAGGATGGCTGGATATACAGGTCTATAGCTCAGCAAGACTGACATGGAAACCCACATGGAGGAATCAACATATGGATTTTAATGGAAACCATGGAAATGAATGGGATCACCAAGGAGACTGAATAAATAAAAATTTTAAAAGAGCAAGACAGAACTCTGGATAATACCACATTTAAGCGGCAGCTAGCAGAGTTAAAGAAAAAGTACAAGAGTTAAGAAGACAACCAAAAGAAAGTGTCTAAAAAATCTAGGAAGGAATTTTAAGATCTGTCAAATGCTGCAGACAAGCAAAATAAGGATTGAGAAGTGTCCATTAGGCTTGGTTTGAGTCACTGGTAACTCTAGCTAGAGTAAGATATGCACAAAGGTTGACTCCACATATCCAGGTCTTTGTTTAATAAATTGTTTCAAAAAAGATGGAACAGTAACAGGAAGAAAAACACAAAGCACCAAAAGTTCCATAGACTCTTCAATGAACTGCTCGGTTTTGACTCAAAATCATTTGGGAATACAGTAGTCCCTCCTTATCTGTAAAAGATACTCTCTAAGACCCCCAGTGGATGCCTGAAACCATAGATAGTACCGAACTCTATATTATACAAAGTTTTGTTTTTTTTTAAATCTGATAATTGAGACTGCTACTAAGTGACTAGGTGTAGACAGCATACACAGTGTAGATACACTGGACAAAGGGATGATTCACCTTCCAGGCAGGATGAAGAGGGTTGATGCGAGATTTCTTCACACTACTCAGGCATGCAATTTAAAACTTATGCATTATTTATTTCTCGAATTTGCTATTTAATATCTTCAGACAGCAGTTGACAGCGGATAACTAAAATGACAGAAAGCTAAACCGTGGATAAGGGAGAACTGCTATATTTAGCTACATTTAATTAGGCCCTGACAGTTCTGTGACTGCAGCATTTCTCTTACGTCAGCAAGGGGAAGGCAATCAATGAGCTAACTGTTAACAAGTAAATTAGTCTTCTGGTGGCTCTGTCCCTCTGAACAGAGGCTAGCTGTTTTAGGAAAAAAGAAAATGGTAGGAATAGATAAAACTCAGGCCTCACCCATATTGAAGCTACATACTACTTTCACCATACTTTGACATAAATATTAAATATATTTATATGATGATAACATACCTTATTTCTTTCAAACAATACAGTATGCATGTGTAATTACTCAAAGTGTGTCATTTTATTGGCACAGGGCAAAGTCAAGGTCATCTCCTCCTCCAATTATTATTGCCTTATAGCCATCCTTTCACTGGGAGGGGCGATCACAGGAGCTAAGGATATTAATGGGCTGAGTCATTCACACACTTTTTGAATCCATGTGAGATTCTAGCATAAAATTATTCATTCCTATAAATGAACTAAGATTCACGTGGATATACTCTCTCCAAAACAGCCATTGTTAGATATTTGGCTCCCAAAGTAACATATACCAATTATTTAAATCACATAGCCTTTAGAATTTTATTATGGGAACATACTAGTGATAAGCAATTTGCTTTGTGTTCTGCTTAGTACACACTAAATGTTCCAAATTCTAATTCATAGTCAGCTTGATCTAAGACTACGGGACCTGCTTTCAAGCTGGAAATCTGAAGGGAACTGACTCAATTGGTCCTAGCACATTGAGTAAGCAAATATGTACTGAGTCCCAATTGGGCACCAGGCATTATGCTAAACACTAAAACATTTATGGAAGTTGGCCACACTCATGACACATCACCAATCCAACTGGTCATGCACAGAGTAAATTTATATAGGCCAACACTGACTCCACCTTTGCACAGCAAAAAAGCTTCATAAAGCTTTTATTAAAAGGTATGTCCAAGCTGACAACCATTATTATGCTTTCACTGGGCTTAACCTAATTGCATGTACACATGGAGACACACTATATTTTCTACAGAGTTTACTATACTGCTTTTACCCTGTTTAAAAAAAAAAAAAGATACATACTGATGAACAACACGAATTACACCCTTCATCTCATGCCAGTTTCTGTTGCCAATTGCACAACCTACACTGACCTCTGTTGGACCAAATTATCTGTAGTTGAGTTTCCTAGTACCATTATTTAGTATAGGTTTGATTTCAGACAAAACACTTAGGAGAGAATATTTCCTGGTCGAGCTTTATGACACATCGAGTGGACTTCACAGTTTGCCAACATGTTGTAATACACCATTATTGAGTAGCAGCCAACCAAACATGAAAATATCTTTCCTCCTTCAAACCTTCCAGAAACATTTTGAAAATAAATAAGCTTAAACATGTGTGAGTGCTATTGCTCTAGTTCTAATGGACCAGTCCTATTAGAATAGACAGTTGTCCAACAGATGGCAGCTGAATGAGGCAACCTGCCATCTATGTGCATCTGTTACTAAACATTTATGCTGCTGAAAATTATTCCAATAAATTCCTCATGGCACCATGCCAACTAAGATTATGACCAACAGGAATCACTTATTTACACAGAATACAGCATTAGGATTCCCATACTGGGTGGGAAGAAACTGATGATTTTGCCTCTCCGGGGTTTCTTCTTGGTTTTGTTCTGTTTTTTTGTTTTGGCAGAATTCATAGAAATACACGTTATTTATTTATTCATTTATTCATCCATTCAATAAAGATTTACTGAATGTCTACC